TATTTGGTACAGTAGCCTTTGTTTGCAAATGCAGAGGTCAAACATTTCTTATAGTTTTTCACCAGGTGTACACGAACTACAGGAGGGATTTTGGCCCATTCCTCCACACAGATCTTCCGGTCAGGTTTCTGGGCTGTCGCTGAGAAACACAGAGTTTGAGCTCCCTCCAAAGATTCTCTATCGGGTTTAAGTCTGGAGACTGGCTAGTCCACACCAGAACCTTGATATGCTTCTTCCAGAGTCCCTCCTTGGTTATCCTGGCTGTGTGCTTCAGGTCATTGGCCTGTTAGAAGAACCAGCCTCCACCCATCTTCAATGCTCTAACTGAAGGAGGTTGTTCCCTAAAATCTGGCAATAAATGCCCGGGTCATCCTCTCCTTAATACAGTGCAGTCGCCCTGTCCCATGTGCAGAAAAAAAAAACACCCCCAAAGCATGATGCTACCACCCCCATGTCAGGATTGTACTCATCATTCTTCTTCCTTCACACACAGTTAGTGGAATTATGACTAAAAAGTTGTATTTTGGTCTCATCTGACCACATGACTTTCACCCATGACTCCTTTGGATCATCCAGATGGTCATCCAACGGGCGCCGACATGTGCTGGTTTAAGCATGGGAACCTTCCTTGCATGATTTCAAACCATGATGTCATAGTGTATTACCAACAGTAACCGTGGAAACGGTGGTCCCAGCTCTTTGCACGTCATTGACCAGCTCGTCCCATGTAGTTCTGGGCTGATTTCTCACCTTTCTTAAGATCATTAAGACCCCACCAGGTGAGATCTTGCATGGAGCCCCGTTCCGAGGGAGATTGACCGTTTAGCTTCTTCCATTTTCTAACGATTGCTTCCTTTTTTCACCAAGCTGCTTGGCAAATTCCTAGTAGCCCTTTCCAGCCTTGATGAGGTGGACAATTTTGTCTCTAGTGTCTTTGGACAGCTCTTTGGCCATGTTAGCAGTTGGATTCTGGGGTGGACACGTGTCTGCATGCAGCTAACGACCTCAAAAAGCTGCATCTAATTTAGGATAATAAATGGAGTGGAGGCGGACATTTTGAAGGCAGACTAACAGGTCTTTGAGGGTCAGGATTCTAGCCGACAGACGGGTGTTCCGACAGGTGACAATTTCAGACCAAGTGGGAGAACTTGCAAAATAGAAGGGTGTTCAAATACTTATTTGCAGCGGTATCATACAACTAAATAGTTAAAAAAAAATCATATATATTGTGATTTCTGGTTTATGTCTTTTAGATCGTTTCTCTCACAGTGGACATGCACCTACGATGACATTTCAGACCCCTCAGTGATTTCTAAGTGGGAGAACTTTCAAAATAGCAGGGTGTGCAAATACTTATTTTCCTCACTGTATGTTAGGATTATTCAAAGTGATGAAATTTCATAACTTTTAATCTATTTCTGGTATATTTGATAATGATGTCACTGCTTTCAAAACACCTCATAGGTCAATTAACAACATATTAGTTAGTTGAAATGTTCCTGTGAATGTTTTTTAAGCCAACACCTGCAGCACACTGCTGCCCTGTTTGACATCATGGAAAAACAACCCTGGCAGCACTAGATTCATAACCTGTCTCCGCCAGATGGATTTGCTCCGCATATCCATCTGGAAACCTTCCGTTGAAGTAATTTTGGGAAGGGGCGAAAATACTGGTTAGCTGA